TCTTTAAATTTTTTTTTTTTTTTTTTGTGTGTGTGTGTGGCACTGGAGATTGAGCCCATACGCACTTTACCACTGAATTACTCTCCCAACCCTTTTCATTTTATTTTTGAGACAGCGTTTCACTTAGTTTTTCAGGCTGACCTTGAATTTGGGACTCTGTCTCAGCCTCCCAAGTAGCTGGGATTACAGGCATGTGCTACAGTGCTTGGCTTTATATCTTATTTTTATTTTGACATTTTATTCGTATTTTTTTTGTTGATAAAACTTAAGAGGTATGTCGGTGGCACCTCCAGAGCCACACAGATCTACTCCTGTAGCTTAAAAAAACAAAAACAAAAACAAAAAGCCCCCCAACAACATCATCAACAACAATCCTTCAACCTTCTGTGGACTGGTGTTCCCAAACAGAAACTTAGAAGAGGTAGAATAGTGGGTCGAACAAACTATAGCTGCTGATCTCCACACTGCAGTTGGCATCCATCCACTCCCCTTTTCTTATGAATTCTATTTGTCTTCGCCCTAATTTCTGAAAGGCTTATCTTGTGCGTGATCCAAACCTTCAATGAAAGGGGCCCAAACCTGTATCTTTCTTGGACTGAAGTCCAAGAACACATGAACATTCACAGCTATAACAGAGCATGGAAGTACTAGGAAGCACCCATGTACATCATCTGGACTCTACATGAATTCTTCTCTTCCTGCATTGCATAAAAGCAACCCTATCTCTGCTAATCAGGGTTATTTAGCTGTGACAACATGGTGACTCCTCATCCTCTGGTCCTTAGACACAAGAAGTCCAAAGTGTTCTGACAGCAAATGTAGCTTGCAGTTCAGTGGGACCTTTGCCATATCACTTGGCAAGGGTGCATCCTCTTTGGGGACCTTGACCTTTAACCCTGCTGAACCCAGAGTTACAGAAATAAAAGCACAGTATTTCTCAGTGTGTCAATTGAGATGATGGTAAGTGAAACCTCTCCTACTTCTACCCTTTGTTTGCTGGATCCATGTATCTTTCTAGAGTATAGTATCATTTAGAAGTCTCTTAATAAACACATTACATCTTAAAGTATGATACCCTGTACCTTCAGTGTACTTCCTTTGAGCTGCTACTTCATTGTGCTTTTGAAAGCCATTTTCTCCCTTCCTTTCTCCTTCCCTCCATCCTCTCTCTCTCTCTCTCTCTCTCTCTCTCTGGTTCTGAGCTAGAATGGTTTGTAATTCCTTTTTGTTCCAATATAAATACATGAATGGACTCTTCCTAATGAATTCTCTAGTTTTTTTTCCACAAATAGGTGATTAGTAAAAAAATAACTTCAACAGAAATTAGGGAACTCTGAACTGTGATTAAATGAGATGTGATAGTTTTAGTAGTTCACCTAACTTTCCTTGGTTAACATCTCATGGTCTTGATTTTACTTATTAAGTTAGCAGAATAATTTGGCGATGACCTGAATCACACTTTTATCTTATGTTTATCTTTTGTCTTTTCAAGATTTAATGAAAGATTTGTCCTGATATAATCCAGTGATGCAGACCATATGGGAAGTTCCCATCTCTTGGTGCCAAAAGGCAAGATTAGTCTTTCCCTTGCAGTATCCTGGATATCACAGTGATGAGAGTAGGCTCTCACTGAGTGTACCTATCTGCTGCAGTGGAGGAAGGATTTATCTTTTTGGTTGGAGTGTATCCCTCTGTCCAGGCATGGTGGTACATGCTGTAATTGGTAACCTGGGATGCTGAGGCAGGAGGATCCCTAGTTCCAGGCCGGCCACAGCAACTTAGTGAGACCCTGTCTCAAAAAATAAAAAGGGATGGGGATATATCTCAGTCATAAATCCCTGGGTTCAACCCCCAATATCAAAAAAAAAAAAGAAGAAGAGGAGGAGGAGGAGGAGGAGGAGGAGAAAAAGTACCACCCTGAGCTAGGAGTTAGTCTAAGTGAGCGAGGAGTTAGTTTGGGAAATATACACTCATTTCTTTGACCCATAGATACTGATATCACTGGTTATCATATGTGAAAAATAGACAACATCCTTATTCAAGAATTCCTTCATAGGTTTAAGTTCAGTATTTGGCATGATCATGGTCCTAAAGCAGATGTTTTCCTTCAGGCTGGGAAAATTCTCTTTGAGTGACAGAACTTGCTAGATTGGCCACATTGACTAAGAATGTGTCACCATGTATCTCTCTTTTAGCTTTCAAGGACCTAGGCAGGTTATTCTGGCCAAGAACTGCAAGAGGAAAGAACATACATTCTTTTTAAAATTTTGAATAATAACTCAATGTTAAAACTCTTAGGTTCAGGATTTCAAAGTTCAGGCAATACTGAAAGAATACTTATGACATACACATTTGATTAATGCAACATTTGCATTTATTTCTGTCAATAAATTAAACAGGGTGCAAGTCTGTAGGGCAGACTGGAGTAGGGCAGAGCAATAGGGACAGATATACACACCATTCCAGTGTCAGGGGATCAGCATCTCAGTGTCAGTGGCTGTTGCAGTGGTTGGCTGGTGCTTTAGTGACTTCCATCTGCATGATTTTCTTCCTTATTTCTGCAGAAGGAACTTAAGTCACCTCCAAGATTGAAAGTCAGAGTCTACAGAAAACAACTCAGCATTCCCCTTTAGAGATGCAGGGATATCAGCGCCCAATGCTCACTATGCAGTAATTGTATGGGCTGCCCGG